TTTCATTTTCATCTGACAGAAGAGTGAAATTGTAATCATACAATGGATGCCAAGAAATCATCATTCTGCACTTACATATACAATCCTATTAATTGAACATAAGGTAAGTTTTTAGCCCTTACAGGAATTTATTAAACATTGATCACTAATAACTTCAAAAATGTGCTCCTCTCTCATTCTGAACCATGTAAGTTTCATTTTCTTTTAAGTAGTAATTATGCAACTATGTTAGAAAGGAAAGTTGTGTAACCTTAACTAGAGCTGATACGTGATGTTGAATCCACTGGAATCCACTGTTTACTCAAAAAACTTAAGTCAGACTAAGTTGCTTTGAGATCTTCGGTGAATGTGATTACTTACAGTCATGACACATTTTTCAGGCACTACTGCTGCCTCAGCACCAAATTAATGAGGGCTGAATAATTTGTAAATGAGTGAAGTGAGCAAGTCTGCCTTTACTGAATAGCCAATTACCACTGAGGCTCAAAATTTGCCTCTGTTTCCTGATTATGCAAATTGCTAAGGAATTATATATCTCTTTCAGAAATTTATCCCCACCTTTATTTAAATTCCTTTCATTTTGGATCTTAAATTGTCATGGAAGCATACAATACACTTCTAACTCATTTTAATGTGTGCATCACATTATGTTATTACCAAACTTAAATAAACTTTTTGAGACTTATTTGAACTCCTTCATTTCTAGGAAAATAGTTGCCCTAGGAAGAAGCATATAATTAAATTTTGAAAATACACTTAGTGCTCATATTTCCAAAACATTCTCAGTTTTGAGAAAGGCTTGCAGTTAGTTTGCCTCTAAAGAGGCAAAAAAAAAAAAAGCTATATGAAGAGAACCCATTCATTTTACTTACTACTTCACTGCTTGGCTTCTATTCTTTATGCAGCAATTCCAACTATAACAGATACCGACTTGTTTCATATTTTATAAATACTTATCCAGTGAATGACACATTATAAGCAGTGGAAGCAAACTTCATGGTGTCTCATATCTATTAGATATAAGTGATGAAATCTAGATGTAATTAACATTGGGAGCAATGTATTAGGTCACAAGAACACTTATTTTTCCTAATCTTTTCAAATTTTGAAAATTTTGTGGCGTTGGTTAAAAAAACATGTAAAATCATGCAAACTGGAAGGACTACAACTTTCCAGTTTCCATCTGCACAGATTATAGCCAGGATTCCAGCAGGACTTTGGGTTAGATACCACTGAGTTTTTGTCTTTATAGGTGAAAATATTTTGAAACTAAGGATCTGTTCTAAGGCATCTGAAGTGACTTGAGTTCCCCACTTCCTGAAAGTAGGAAAACAGTTAAACTACAGGTAAATTAATGGACAGTCAATGTAACAACTCTAATATGGAGACAGAGTACTGAAATAATTTATTAGACTTCCAAACCCACAATAGTAAAGTGGGACTGCTAGAAACCATAGTAAAGAGACTAATTCTAAAGAAAAAAAAGCAGATGTCAGCTTCACTACAACCAAACCTATGATAAATCCACAAAAAAATGCAGCCCTCTGAGAATACTTTGAGCTAACAAGGAATAAGATTGCCAAGCAAAGCTCAGTAATTAACTGCAACCTACACTCAAGTGTAACTATAAAGGATGCTTAGCCCTGAGAACAGTGAGTTAAAGTTGCAAGCAATTTCTATAATGAAAGGCATTGTTTAAAACTGTTCTCATCTTTGTTTATGCTTACTACACCAAAACTATACCTTCTCAGAATTTATTGCATGCTAAGTAAATTATTATTTTTAGTTAAATCCCATAGTTGTAAGAAAACTCCCAAGAGAACTAATTGCACTTTTAAATTAACATACAACATTTGAATATTAGCAGGAACAATTAATTAACCTCAGACTGCTGTTTAATCTACTCTGCAGAAAAACTTGAACCTTCCCTTTCATAATATTTTGCTTACCAGGTCAATAAAAGAGAATATAAGAAAAAATATCAGGTGTCATTTTGCTTTAGTACATGAGTCTGCAGTTTATCCATTGGCTTTACTTTGGCATTCTGTTAAAGAATTTAATTTATTTTCAATGAAAAATACAAATCAGACTTCAAAAATATTGGTGACAGTTTTAGAATACAACTGCCAGCTCAGCAGTGTTTTGACCTCTTACTACAAAGGTCTGAACATTCTCATACTTGAAAAAGCAGGCAACCTATTGGTTTCCAATTTAGTATTGGAAGTAAGGTAAATTATTCATACACAGTTAGGTTTGGACAGGGTGAGGAGACAATGGCAGCCTCCTCCTTCTCAATCTTTCAAGGCATCAATGTTTTGCATTATACTAAACATGATGAAGAAATTGTCCTAAATTTGTCCCAGAACAAGGATTTTTTGTTTGTTTTCTATTAGAAAGCAGCCTACAAAATCCCACATTGTTTCTATGAGCAATAATTTTAAAGTCCTTCCACACTGTAGTATTTACTGACACTATTTCTACAGTTTGCAAAATACACAATGCTTTCCACAGCTGTTTTTCTCTTCTCAGTAGAAGAATATTAAATAAAGCAGAGATAAAGACAGATCCGTTTCTTATCTCCAAATGTTGCTTTGACACGTTCACTAATCCTGAAAGCTTTTGTTTCACATCAGCAAACGATTTTAAAGCCTCTAATATTATCTATGCAAGTCAAACTCCACCACAGATGATACAGATTAAAGGCATAGTGTTCCCTTTACTGTTGCTCTGACGACATTTGTGAACTCCATACCACCACCTGTTACAAAAAGAAGCCATCTAAAATGAAATCTCACTCCTTAAATCATTATGATTGCAGTTTGAGAGGAAAAGGCAGACAAAACAAAATCAAGAGGTTTTAGAGAGCCTCTGTCACACCCGATAAGACATTTAGACTGTTTCACAGCCTAACTGGACAGACAGATATGAATAAAATATATTTTTTTATTTCTATATGCCACTGAAAACATCAGGATAAATCATGGTAGCATTTCATTAGAGATTCTGATAACTAAATGATCATTTAACCCAAGATACACTTTCAAAGCACATACATTTCTCTACAATTGCATAAACTGTACGTGAGGTATCTCAAATTTACATCATCACATTGGCTCAGGACATACTTCATTTAAATATAGACATTCTCAATAGGATGTCACCTTGTAGAAGTTTTAAGCTCTGAAATGTAAGATACATCTAGCTTCCCAACACTAAAATAAGCTATTTCTCATCTACACCTCAATCCAGTCCAGGAATATCAATCATATCAATACTCTATCATAGACCATTAGATCTGAAGGCCTCCTGTGTAGTATTCTAATAGGAATTGTGGAGGGTGGGAGGAGAAGACAGCAAGATAAATAAGTAGAGAAATCATTGCCATTTGTGATTTTGTTAATTTGCTTTCAATGACATTTCCAACATTATCTCATATCGAAAGGTTGACAGACAGAATGTGTTTCAAGACTGCAGTAAGTACAATATCAGGGGAGATCTTCTGACATAGAAGAATTACGTCTCTCCTTTCATAGCAAATAATAGAAAATACATGTCTTTCTAGTAAAAAAAAAAAAAAAAAAAAAAAAAATTTTGCTCTTTCCAGGTCCTGGGTTTATTGGAAAGAGGAAAAAAAAAAAACAAACACCAAAAAAACACCAAACCACAACCCTTAAGTACATAATCTATGTTTATATCTCCTTCTTGAAATGGAACACTAAAAATGATAATATAGAATACTTTGATTCACAGTATATATCCCTAAACTCTCTCATTCAAATTTAATGTAACACAAAGGCAATCCTAACACAAAAGGCAACTACCATTTCCTTTGTATGCATCTCAATTCATTTGTAGCATAACTTTGCAAAGCACATACTAGCTTGATATAAGCTTTTTTAATTGTTCATTACCACCTTTCATTTTCCTGTAAGTGTAAAATCTTAAGTTGCTTAAAAATTAAGGTTTTATACAGACAAATAAATGCATGTTCTACAAACCAAAATACACACTTTTGAAAATGTCCTTTGCTAAGATGAGCTGATTTGCTGGTGATGGAATCTTATTCTGCTAAGACATCTCCTCTGAGTGTATGTACACTGTTGGGTTTGACATCTTTTGAGCATACACAGATATTTCATACCCACGTACCACTGGTGTGGGTGGGCTTTCCAACAGCTTAAACAAAGCAATCAGCACTTGAACATTTAAGTGCCAAGAAAAATGAACCTGACTACCCATGGACAGGTAATTAATCTGCAACTTCCCTTCTCTTGTCCCACAGTTAACAAATCGATATGGATCACTTTCCTAAGGAATATTCTGATGGCAGCTTCCTGTATTTGCCAGAGGCATGTAAGAGTTTTCAGCCCTCTCTCTCCCTCACCATTATCACAGAAAGGTAATTAGCTCCTGGCTCATTCCAGTTCTACCACGCAGGAAATTTCCACATTTCATATGCTCATACAGGCTCTCTGTGCCCCTTTGATCCCCCATACCAGTTATATATGGAGCTAGGGTTTCTCAGTGAAGAGAATTATACATCTTTAGTACCTCCCTGTTCTTTGCCTGCAGCCTAGCTACTCACCACCCAAAAACAATTCTGCAAGCAGTTTTATGGATACTGATGTGAAAGTCTGGATTATTTTCTCTGTTGCAGTGGAAACTACTTCATCTTGTTTTGTTTCCTGCTGTCAGAGAGTATTGAAAAGGGCTGAGATTTCCCAGGTAGGTGTTCCCGCCATTCTCTTGAGTCACATCTTGAAAATAAACTGTAGCCTGTAACATTTAAATCTGGCAAGAGAAACACTTGGGAACTGCTGTGTCATTAGCTTTAAACATGAGATTTCCTTAATGTGCTATACACCACTTTGATCAGTCTTCAGCACCACACTACACTTCTTTAAAGGCATAAGCTTGCCTCTTTTTGGACAAATCCCTAAACCAGATTTCTCAAAACAAATTTAATTCCCATAAGCAGCAGTTACAGCTACTCAAGTCACCTGAAGCGTATACTTCTGTATTTCATCCAGAACAAATTCCACTTCCTTTGAGGTTGTTAATGAGGCAAGATTCCCACTCAAGTTGTAGCAGTAGAGTTTGGCGTTGTCGTAGCTCTCGCGGCTGGAATTGATGCGCAGGCAGGCGTCGCCCACGTGACTCCAGCCCTCGCCGCACAGGTGAGCTAGGGGACGAAGCACACCATGAAAGCTGATGTGAAAACACTTCTAAAAACCTAAGGGAGTCTGAATTTTATCTTTCTGAGATCATAATTCAAAATACATCCCACACTCAATTTCCCTTTTCACGCTACGTAAATTCTAAAACACCAAGTAAAATCATATTAAACAGTGTACTTTTATGAACAGGAACTTTTAACAACTTACTAAATATTTATGTTATGTGCTAGGTATCACCATAACAATATTGTTCTACACTATTTTTTCTCTGTATTCAGATTTGAGCACAACTAAATATTAAAGATTATATTATGTTTAAAGATAAGATTAAATTAAAGATAAGATTATTAATTAACAGTTTAATCAATCACTTTTCCTAAACGTTATGACACTTCAAACTCTGAAAATGGCTGCTCTAGAATTAAGAGATCACAATTTTAACCTATCTTTGCTTTAACATCCTATCTTTGCATGTAGATTTGCCTAAATACAAATGCAATCAAAATTATAGGAATTTCAGATAATATCTTAGAAAATATTTCCTCTTCAACATATTTCAGCATGACTCAGATTCAGATAACTACTAAAAGATAAATAAGTAATTCAGAGCAACTACTATAGTCAATCTTTAGAAAGATTATACTAATGAAGTTTAAAACTGCATGGAATAAATTGATTAAAGTTATTTAATGAATAATCTCTGTAAAAAAAACCCTATGTTCATTAACTCCATCTGGACATAAAGATCAAATAGAAAAGGTTCTGATATCTAATGCATATATGTAGCTATGAATATGAATTACAGAATAAATATTATTTCAGAACTTTAACATTCACCTTCTGAGAATATTTTACATTAGCATTTTAATACTCACTGCTTTCATAGTATTACCACCATTAGACAATCAAGAACCTAGATCTTAGGCCCTATCTACACAGGAAAACTGAAGTATAATTGAAGTATAATTTATAAGATAAAACCCCAGCTACCAAAAGTAACAGTGTCAGTGAATATGGAACAGTAAAGGACTCAGTGTGGCAGCTCAGCTCTGCACTCAGTGACCCCCACAGGCTAGAGCTCATCACTGGCTTGTGCAGAGGTACATACCATTCATTATGCCTTGCAGGAATAATATTATATCTCCTAACAAGATTAAAGGGAGCATTGACACACCAATCAATCTGTAATCTGTGCTCACCTGTACAGGCACAGCCAGGCAGGGAGAGTCAGCATGAGTAAAACAAATCCAGGTCTACTCATTGAACAGATACTCTTAGGCAAGAACGGAGGAGATTTCCTCAGTTTTGAAATCATTTATAGAAAGCAGTGTCCTGGCCCCACCACCCTTACCAGGGAGTGCCTGGCACTCCTGCTGCCGCTGGTCCCACTGGCAGTTCAGGTGTAGGGAGCAGCTCTTGCAGCTGGTCAGCTTATTGCAGATCTGTTCATTCCTCACATGGCATTTGGTGTAGTTTTTAACTGACTAGAAGTATAAAAGAGACAAAACAGCATTTCAAACATATGTCAGATTATGAACAAACCAGAAGTCAAAGCTGAATTACATAGTAGGTGGGGTGGGTTCCCCCCAGAAAATCACAGCCAAGTAAAAGCAAGATTGACTATAAGATCTTTCTGTAGATTCCCTTATCAGCTGCAGAGAGTACAAAATGCATTTCTAGAGCACAAATGACCCCACCTGTCCTACACAACTAACTCTGAGAAGCTCAAACAGTACTTTGAAGATGCCGCTTCCCTGTACAGAGCCCATGAAGAGCTTAATATACATCTCTTTTACTTAGATAGTTAAGGGATATGCTCTCACTAAATTATTTCATCCTATGCTGGTTAAAGGAAGCAAAATAATCAAACAGAATAAAAAAATGGCACAAGACTTGTGTAAAATTACACACCATTGGCTGAAGGTTCAGGAATATGCTCTACTTTATTTTACCTGGATTAAATGAAACAAAAATAGGAGCTATAGGATAGTAGTCACAAAACACAAGCAGGATTTGTCAAAAAATTCAATCATGCTTTTCTACAGGTTTAACTGCAAACCTGTATGCAACATAGCTAGCATAAAATTTACAGAATCTATAGGAAACCAATATAGGAATAACATTATTCCTTTGGTACCTTACTATACAAGAAAAGGAGTAAAGACTGAAGGCATTTTACTTGGGTTTTCTGTTAGGTTTGTTGGGGTGGACTTTTTTCTGAAAACTGAGGTCTTCCTTTCTAAGTTAGGCATTTAGAATACAAATCCTCTTTTCCCCCCCTTCACAGTACTTTCAGTTGAGACCTAATACGGATACCTTAATTAATAAACTACCTCAAGTCCTCAGCCAACTCATCAGCTTATCTGTAAGGCTGTCTCTACTAACTTAACTCAAGACAGCTTTATACTTACAGAACAGAACGGCTGAGGTTGGAAGGGACCTCAGGAGGTCATCTTGTCCAACTCAACCCGAGTCTCACTCTAACAGCAACAGATTCATTCATGCATCATAGCAGTAGCAGACTGCACTTAGCTATTTTTGCATGGCAATTTTGGATGTTTCCCTTTCTAATAATATGGAGTACAATAAAGCACATTTAAAGAGGCAATATGACAATGTTACACATTTGTCGGTACTGGAATGACGATGACAGGACATTAAGCGACTGCAGTTGGGGGGAAAACAAACAGCCTTTTTTTTTTTTTTAAGTCCTGAAGTAATGCAATTGTTAAAATAAATTTTCAGTTTTACACAGGATGAACCATTACTGCTGAAGAACACTGCTGTTTAGTGCCTTGCCTTCGTTGGATCAGATGCCCATAGAATCATAGAATCCTTTAGGTTGGAAGGGACCTTTAAGATCATCAAGTCCAACCATTGAGCCATTAGGGCTCTAAAGTCCTCTGCTAAAACAGATCAGAATCTGTCAGGGCTGGAAGGGACCACAAGGATCACCCAGTCCACCAACAATCTTATTATAAAAGGTACTCACTATTTTTCTGGTCTGTAAAAAAGGCATTTGTGAAGCAAAAAGAACCATAGAAGTAGTTCTAGAAGAAGGCAGCTATACAACCAGACAAAACAGAGTGAAAGGCAATGCCATAAAGTAACAGATTGTCTAAGACAATAAATGCATAAAAACAGTAAAGCACAGAAAGCTGTTGGTACAAACCCACATTTAGTTTCACTCAGTCATGATGCATATTCACAAATAGTTTGAGAGATGGTTTAACATGAATTTTTGAGAAGTAACCACTACCTGCTCATTAACAACACCTCAATACTCACTTTTAACACTTCTTTATGACACAGTCAAAATCCATAAGAATTCAGATTATTTTTTTTTTTAATTATATACTCTTTGGTGATATTACAGATTTCCCAGCTAAACCAAGATATTTGTTCTATTACTTTCTAATCAGGAAGCTTGTTGTGAGCTGGTTATTTAATGTTTAAAATAAAATTCAAAGTACTAGTGACTATTCTGTAATAATGTTCTCTGTTGTATTCCCTTATTCCCAGCACTTATTTCCCTTAAATCCAATTTACACATTACTTGCCTGAAAATCTCATTAGTTCAATGTAGATGTGAATCCAATAGGTAATTTATATTAACACAATATTAAGGTTATAACTTAAGCTACCAAACCAAATGAAATTCACAAATATGACAGCCCATCTGTTACTGAAGTTGTGTATTGCTGTAGGATATTTATGTTTACACACCAAAGTAGGAGTAAATCACATTATATACAAAGTTTCCCACTTATGTCTGATTTACTTAGTTTTTTAGTACTGATCTTCATAGGGCAGTATACAGACTTATGAACTGCAGTGATTTGCTGCATATCCACCGTAGAATGAAAATATTACAGTAGTTTATCTTAGAATTTTGGAAAATGCTGTTAATGTACCTGCCAACCTCCTCCTGGATTTTCAAGTTAACAGTATAATCTTGTCTACTTTGCCTAGTGTAATTGTAAATTATTAATCTCATAGATTTGCTATTATTTCTCTGAAGCTACTTCCATAACTTACTATTGGTTACTCCTTGGTCTCAAGTTTTCTTTTTTTCCTGCAAGAAAAATTCGATTCTATTCACAATTCCTTCTAACATTTTATATATTTCCTCTTGACTTTTTTTTTTTAACTCTGCAAATGCAGGTAGATTGTGTAATTATTAGCAGTATTAGTGTAGCATGCAAGGACTCCCAGCATGAAAAAGGACACTAAGTTTCTGGAAGTGGTGAAAACATTACAAAAAAAAAAAAAAGACAATGATTCTTCTTTAAGGCCCTGTGTAAAAATATTTAATGATGAAGGACTATAGCTCTCTGAACCATCTAGTAGTACCCTATATCCTCATCTTGCTATACCCTCAGCAAGATGCTCTTTATCATCCTCTTCATGGGTTCTACGATGTTTAGTTTATGTTGCCACACTCAGATACAAAATACTTTTAAATCACATAGCAATTTGGGCTGTATTTAGGTCACTTATGTCAGCTGGGGCTTGATCATATTGCATGTGCAGAAATCGACACACGAGAAATTCAGAGACTGCTACTGGAGCTAAGGGTGTGGTTGCTCACAGTTACAGAAGGAACAATGAGGCTTTCAAAACCGCACTACAGACCAGATGCAGCAATACTTCAGCTGTGCCTCCTCCCAACACAGTTTCTCCAAACAAGAAAAATCACAGGCACTCGACTTGAAAAGACACATCAGAGACCATACTCTGACAAAAAAAGCATTACATTCATGTGCTATTGCCTGGCATTCTTGATCCCAGTTGATCCAGTGCTCTCAATTTATTCTACCCTTCCATACATCTGCTGTTTGTTACAGTAAAGGAGTAGGTATTTTAAGAAGCTTAATGTGAAGATTCAGAATAAGAGCTGAAATTTTATAAGGAAAGTGGTTGGGTTTTTTTTCAATTTTTTAAAAGCACATACATGGTTTTGAAAAGCAAACATTTTCTCTCAGTCAACATTTTCCAAGTTTAGTATTATATTATTACTGCTTTTCAAATCTTCAAAATACTTAATTCTTAAGTAACATAGGAATGTTACTTTATTTGCAGTCTTTTAGTGTGGGCAGTTAAGAGTTCAATAAACTAAAGGATTATAGGCCAATATTGTGCATAACTAGTGGAGCACATTATTACAGCTACCCTATCTGCAGTGATTGCTTGCATTTTTGCTGTGGAGGGGGAGGACAACAAAAAGGCAGAAGGAAGCCATTTCTTGTTAATTCCTGAGGTGTATCTTTCAGGATTGCTGTTTGGATCTGAAGTGTCTTTTGGTGTGGGGCCAGGAAATGAGAAGAGTTATTTTGAGGATATCAATAATCAAAAATAATTTGTTTTGATGAGTACTGCAAGCATTACCTATTGTTTTCCAATGAACGGAATAAGGGAGAAGACAAAAACATGGACTGGAAAAAAAAAAGTAAACAAAGACAAAAGGGAAAACCTTCAACATTCTTTCATAATATAAATACCAAAAAGAAGCCAACAAATTGATCAGTAACAACCTGCATGTGCACATAAACATTTTTACATTTTTCAGCCTATAAATCTATCAGCACTTGAGCCAATCACAGATATAAATGACACAACATGTGCCCAAGCGCAGCTCACCCTCCTCTTTCTCCAGCACTTGCTTAAAGGAGGCTGGCAAGCAGGAGGCATCCCAGTACTCTAAGGGCTTCACGCGGAACACACTTTTTGAATGTGCCTACACATGCCTACAAATACAAAACAGCTTTATTGCCATAATGTGAACTTGATGTGTTACTGTCCTTAAAAATGAGTAGTCTTTTAATACGTTAAGGTGCTCTGCCATTTTATCAAATGGAATGGTCCATCTTGGGGTTGATCACACAGGAAGTGCAGGACAACAGGAGGCTCAGGTCCAGTCAACACGGGCTCATGAAGGGCAAGTCCTGTTTAACCAACCTGATCTCCTTCTATGATCAGGTGACCCATCTAGTGGATGAGGGAAAAGCAGTGGCTGTTGTCTACCTGGACTTCAGGAAGGCATTTGGCACCATTTCCCACAGCATTCTGCTGGAGAAGCTGGCAGCTCATGGCCTAGACAGGTGGACTCTTGGCTGGGTTAAAAACTGGCTGGATGGCCGAGCCCAGAGAGTTGTGGTGAGCAGAGTTAAATCCCACTAGTCACAAGCAGTGTCCCTCAGGGCTTGATTTTGAGACCAGTCTTTTTCAGTATCTTTATCAATGACCTGGATGAAGGGATTGAATGCACCCTCAGTAAATTTGCAGATGACACAAAATTAAGTGGGAGTGTTGATCTGCTGGAGGGTAGGAAGGCTCTGCAGAGGATCTGGACAGGCTGGAGCAAGGGCCTGTGGTCAGTTGGATGAGGTTTAACATGGCCTGGTGCTGGGTCCTGCACTTGGGTCACAGCCTCAGGCAAGGCTCCAGGCTTGGGGAGGAGTGGCTGGAAAGCTGCCTGGTGGAA